GTGTGTGTGTGTGGAATCCCAGTTTTTTTAAATCGAATGAGAGAAAGCCGCAACAACACACATCAGAGGGGTGGAAGTGATGTGTAAATTAAAATTCTTAATTAATTAGACCCACCGCGACACCGGTGTGCTGAGTGGAAACTTTTACAGTTGCTTTCGGTAACGATCTGCACGAGGTAACGTGGCCTCTGGCTGGATGAAATTGAGCCGGTCTTTCGATCAGTCAGCAAAGTGGATCAATCTTGCTCCCTATATCGCGATTATTAGACCCTAGCGGATGCAGAGCTAGCCTCTAACTTTGCGTGGTTGTTTTGGACAGGTAGATCCACTCTCTTGCTAGTTCCATTCAACCCAGTTGATGAAACGTCGACGGTGGTTTCATACATGTTCTTACCTCGTTAAAACGTCATAGTTTCATTTGCTCAAACCCACAGTGAGTAATTTTCTGTTTTCTGGTTAACGAGCCGTTTCATTTGAGTCATGTGTCTTTCAATAGATGCCTGGTGGGTGTGGTTGGTTGCAGCAGCCTATTAACCTGCGGTTGCCAAAGGCAGAATTTTCCGTTTCCAGGTCAAACTGGTCGCCACACGCGACAAGCCCCTGTGTACACTTAAACAAACCCACGTAAAAGCTCACCCGAGCACAGGTTTTCCCATCTTCTCACCAAAAAACTGGATCCAGCCGGGATAAAGCACGAGGACACCCCTATCCACGTGGTTTGCTACTTCCCCTAATGCTCATGGGGTGTTTTAGCACCTGTCAAATTGATTTTCGAGTTACCATTGGGTTTAAAACGACAGGACAATTGATACCACTCGCTTTGTTTAATTGAAAAACATTACTGCTAGAAAGTCAGAAAAAGTAGTCAAAGATTTCCGTGTAGAAGCGCTTTTGCAGCCGCATGCCAAATTTCTCGCCCGATATCCATTAAGATATTCCCACAGGTAAAAGTCAATGAAACGTGAGGCTTGATGCCTTGTTTGCGCACGCAGGACCAAACCTTTCACTCAAAGTCGATTTTGCGATGCTGCTGCTGAGAGAAGCGTCTTGCAGCGGGCGAATTTGACATTCCATTGAGGCGAAAGATGACGTGGCCGTAGAGTCGTGGGTTGACTGCCTGTCTGCCATGACGCCAGCATTACAGCTGCTGCTGCTGCTGATGCTGTCAAACCTAATTTGTCAGGTGGCATGTCAAGTGCAAAACTGTCCACTGCCCCAAAACATGCAGGCAAATAGTATTTCAAAAGCCAACGCAAATCCACAGCTTGCATATCTCAAACATGCCCAGAAACCTCTTTTTTGTTCGAATTCAATCAATAAATATGAAAATCAAATGTGATTTCACATGATCCATGGTTGGGGGTTGCGTAATTTCTATTTGAGAATCGATAGTGTCGCTTTATGATGGGCAGTAACCAATCGGTGAACATTTATAGATTTACCTCTCAAAAGACCAACAAGAACACGATTAAATTAATCTTTTTTTCGTGATTTCAGGCCTCTCAGTGGGTTAAAATGATTTTTGTAAACGTGAAGTTTTTAATACCACACTCGATGGCAGTATGAGTGTGTGCATGTGTGTGTGCGTGTGTGTGAGCTCAAAATTGTCATGTGGCGAAACCACTCACCTGGACCACACCATTATTCAATGTTACAGCTCAAGAGAGCACTTTCCCATATCACTAGGGTACCACATCTAGGTGAATTATTTTAAGGCCATGTCACTTCAAATGGCTGCATGTGATGCACTTCGAGTTGGTATTTTACCCAGCTGCGCCACCGCAAATTCACCCCCCAGCAAATACTTTTAGAGACTATTGCTGTGACTTTACGTCAGTTAAAGTCAAATGCACGGAACTCTGCGACAGCCACGAGACTCATTCCGTGCATGGTTAAACTGGCGATAATGGATTACGCCTAAATGTAATCCTAGCGATTTGGTTGAAGAAAATTTGCTGAGTTTGACGTGAAGTCGGAGGAGTGAGTACTGCTCACGGTAGAAGTTGCAGTAGTCAATCATTCCTACCTCACTCACTCTCACTCCCGTCTTTTTTGACATGCGGAGAGTGAGAGGAAGGCGCCTAGGACTGTCACCCAAACATCGGCAGGCCTCCCTCACCCCTCGCCTCCCTCCCTCCCACGCCCATCTCGAGTCTGTCGTGCTTCCGGAGGGTCGCTCCCTAAAAGTGTCACTCATGTCCCACTGCGAGGCTCATACACGCACACCGATAGGCCGCAGGTGAGATTGTGGCAGGTGCCATTTGGGGCTGAGAGACTGGCTCCAGGACATCCATACTGCTTCCAGTGCGGTCTCTGTGATACCTGTGCTGAACCACCAGTCCCCATCGAAGTGATTTATGCCCAAAGAAGCCAAACCAAGAGAACCACCTCTCTCTTGTGATTACACAGCCTCATGTTGTCTGAATTATTAATCAGCTCAATACAGAAACGCAAGTGGCATTTTAATTCCGATAACAATGCAGGGGTGGATGTACGATTTGAGGCGAGGTGGTGGTGGTGGTGGTGGAGGCGGAGTAGGCGGAGGAAGGCGCGCCACTGAGTTGTGCTCATGTGCGGGCATGCAATGCGACCACCCACTTGCTGCAGCGTGTGCCGACTACTAATCCTAATTAACTTGTTCCCCAACCTCACCACCTCAAGGGATAATTAAAATGGAAGCCCACAGTGTGTGCGTGAGTGTGTACACGCGATTTTTCGCGCCACAGGCGTTTTTAAACCACCTCCACCGCCACCGCCACCATCATTGGGCCGAGAGGGCGAGAGAGAGAATGAGGCTAGACAGGGAAAAGCTTTGCTAATCCTACAACAAATACCCTTCTCTCTGCAAACTGGCTGCCAATCGAGACAGCATTTGCTCACATTCGAGAAAGCAGAATTCAACTCAAAGCGAAATTTCTCGCAAGACCGAAATCACTCGATTCTCCAAATTGCTGTCCGGGGTGCACAGGAAAGGGTCCTTTTTCGAGTTCCACTTGTCTTGACTTAGAATCGGTAGTACATGAAGGGTGCTTCAACCCAAACCGGATAATTCCTGTGAAAAGTGGTGCGCTTTTTGTTCTGACCACGATTTGACGCCTTCTCGAAGAAGAATCGCCAACTCTTTTTTTGTCCGCAATCAAAGGCATGAGTTGAGGGTTTTTGAAGGGGATTTGGGCTTTCCGCTGTCAACCGTTAGACCTTCAAAAAAGCCCAGATAACAGGTTGATCGGTTGAGGGCGGAAATCAGATTGAAAAAGCTTGGCAAAGGCACACGGCCGTCGGACACGCTTTTCCGCCAATTAAAACGTTCTGCTTTGTGGTTTAAGCCTAGCAGAATCACAAATAGAGATTTCAACATCCAGTAAAATTCGAGGTGACATCCGTAGGCCCCAAGATACCGAAGGGTGTTGGTCAGGTTTCTTCGGTATCAAATAAGTGTAACGTTTGTCATGGTATTTCCACACAATCGTCTGTTTTACTATGCTGGTTCGATTGTAACACCATTCAGAGTCCACAATAGTACTAAAGACTCTTTTTCTTGTTCACATTTACTATTTTTCTCTATTTATGTCGACTGATTTTTTCTCTGGTCTGCTGGTGTTATTTACAACAAGTGTACAGAAGGCCTCCAAATCACATGTAAATACCACACAAGATTTTTTGTCATGTGATTTTTGATGTTAAAAATCATCTTTTACTGGAAAAAAAAGTCCGACAGAATGGAACTTACACTGTCTTGGAGTAAATCTACTCAAACGGATTTTCGTTACCCTCAATTTTCTTATAGTGTCTTTCGAATTTTACCCTGAAAATCGTTCCTAATGCTTTCATTTGAAAAGGAAACACTGAGAGTTTATCAGTTACCGTCTGGATTTCAATAACCAATAAACTCAAAGAATTGACCGATTTAGTTTACGTTGGAGCATGGGACGTTTAAGTCAAACGATTCATTGTTGAATTTGCACTAAAAATTTCAGTACCTCGATAACTGGCGGCGTAAGAAACCTACCCCTGGTAGTCTTTTTAAGTGTAACTTAGCATTCCACAATGAATTAAAGGTGAATATATCCCTGATGTAAAATTAAATACTGTGACATCCAAACTTATCTACAAATTTCAACGGCTATTAATTTAGCCTCGGCAAGTGAACGGTGTACGTAATAGCTAAAACCCACGTTTTACCTTGAAGAAAAAATCAGCACCATTTTATGATTGATTTACGCGTTGACATGAAATTTCGCAAGGAAACGGTCATGTGAAGAGGCTAGGCACATGTGAATAGCGAAAAGTGCAAATTACTCTTCATGATTCGAGAACCAGAGGTTGCCCTTTGAAGTGGGGTCTTCGAGTACTTGGCAAGAAGCGATAGGTACATTCCAACAGGGGTGTCTTCATTTTTCGCACGCTTCCCAGCGTCCAAGGCTGAAAGGACCCTACAGGTTAATTATCGACTCGGCTAACTCGATTCACACCCCGATAATTTGTAAATTTAATAAGGTCATGAACTCAATCTCATCTGAACGCCACATGGAGTATTTGACATGCAAGAACACACTCGGCTACTATGGCCAATCGATCTAAGGGAAACTGGACATCAGCAGGGACATGCAGAATGAGAGATCTAGGAGCTCGTAGTGAGTAATCCTGAGTGCTTTTTCCAGGCTCAACAGGAAGATTTCACTCTTCCTTTGAGGCTTAACTTGCTGAAATGTCAAGCACTCCTTATTACCGAAAGGCGTGTATTTAGGCAGCCAAACTGTCTTCTCTTTAGTTATTCTACTGATGATATTAATGTTAGTAAACAGTTTTTGGACAAAATGTGGCCATTTAGTGTGGTGTGTGCGTGCGTGTGTGTGCGTGTGGGTGGGTGGGGCGGGAGCAAAGGCGATGTTCATCGTGTGATAACAACTCATCACTTCGAGCTGTTGGCGATGACATCTGTGATAGTTTTTTCCCATTCAATCTGTCACCAGTGCCTCTTCTACACGACATCACTTGACATGGCGCAGCCCAAGCGCGCCCTGATGCCAAGCGGAAGAGGAGAGTGTCTTATTACACTCCATTCCCACCCCACACCCCCTCCCCTTTCTCCACCTCCTCCAATCAGGCACGACGAGGAGTTGAAACTGAAACTGCACCCCGCCAGCCTGCCTGTGACTTACTCACGCACGTACACACACACTCACACGTTTGCACAAACATTTTAGCAGAATTCGACAGGCATTCCACTTAATACCTGGCAGTAAACGTCGAAAATGTAGCTTGAAGTAGGTTTTCTTGTTGACAGAGAGTAAACTAGTTGATTTGAATTCACCGGTGGTTATGAAAGTACACGAGTTGTGTGTTTAGTGAATCAAGAGCCCTGATAATCGTGGTGATAGCCGGCACTTCTTGTTAACAAACAAGGGAGTTGTGTGTTTAACAGGGTGAGGACACCTGGTTATGTGAGAAAAATGAAGAACTTTTACTTGGCAGAACAAAGTACGCACAGAGATATGCTGGTAAAAGACGATGATGGTGATGACGACGATGACTGGTGCCACTTGTTTCAAGAAGTAATTCAGTTCAAGGACATGACGAAGTTGACTTGATGGCCAATCAGGATTATTGGCGTGAGTTCAGCCTTAGGTAGAGAGAATAGGATTCTCCCAGTTTCAATCATTGGAGACAACATTTAACTTCTACCACGAAGAGCTGAAGGAAATACCAAGAGGCACGGCAAATTAGGCCAAGCGACATGATCAACAATTACAATGATGGTAGTAGGCTTTTAAGCTACGGGTGTGCCTCTTGAAGATCAAACGAGTTAGTCGATGATCCTCAAACCGATCCATTTAAAACAGCCTAATTCAGGGGTCAAGATATGACGGACAAACGGGAGGAGGTGTCTCGTTCTAATTTCACTGGCGCTATTGCGCGCGTTCTTCGTGGGCAGCAAAAGAAGCGCAGTTTGACAGGAGCCATCGGGCAAGACGCTGTGTTATCAGCCAGAGTTATCATCATCACCATCACCATCATCCCCATCGTCGTCGTCGTCATCATCATCATCACAGGACTCCTCAGCCTCAAAAAACCCCACCGTGGAATTAATTGTCAGGAGAGCATAAATTTTCATGCCCCCTCCCCTCCACTCCGTTCGTGGTGGAAGGCAAGGCGCGATAAGGAGGCATTTTGTGTTGTGTGTCAAAAACGATGCCGCCGCTGGCATGTTCCCTGCAGCCAACCTAATGGGTGTGCGTCGACACCCCCCCTCTGCAACCCCTGCCACCACCACCGCCGCCTGCCATTTCCTCCCACACGATTCAATCTGAGCGCCAAGTGGCGCGATGTGGTGGTGGGCTTGACTGTTCCCGCCATAAACGGACACTTTAACCAACATGGTAGCAAGTGTCACACCGGCACACGCAACATTTCACATTTACGCACACCTAGGCAGCATGTGCTCAAGCAAGTATCTCACTTTTCAGGTGTAAAGTTTTATCGCCACTACTTAAACCACAGAAAAAGACAATTGCTCTACTGATTTACCTTGCTTTTGAAGAGCAACAAAACGTTTATTGCTGTTCGTTTTGAATTTAAACTGCGATGATATTTCACTTAAATTCTGGGGGCAAATAAGAGCAAATTAAATCAGCACCACTATCTCTGGCATCCAAACCTTTTAATCGACTAAGACGCAAATCTGTTTCAAGCACTTGATCTCAACGGTTTCATGAAAGGAGAAGCAGTTATTTTTACCACCTTCGATCTATTTTTAAGTCAAATTATGCCTGTGGAGTAAAGATTTTGCCTACGGCTTGATAATTTAATTGAAATGAAGAGTTTTAGTAGCTCAAGATCATCCTGTGACTACCCACACAGAACACACTTAGTGTGGGCGTAGGTAGCAATTGGTTTTCGCACTTTACGAGAGAAATTATACGATTTATGTAAAGTGAGGCATGGTAAATGTTTGAAAAGCTCATTATGACATCGTGTGGCTTTTCAGGGTGACATAATTTTGAGCGAGCATCATCCCTCAGTGACGCTGCCGAAGGAGGTCTATCAAAGCCTGATAATCAAGTCCTCGGGCAGCGCAACTCGACTCATTCGACTGTTGATGAAGAGTTTTTTCACCCAGGAGGAACTGGCAGCCTCGTCTCTGTCTGGCGAGGGCATCTACAAACAGCGCCTTCAACCAGAAATTACTGAGGCTATTAAAGGTATGGTATGAGTGTATTGTGATTTGAAATGCTTCAGTCAAGCTAAGGCCTGATTACAAATCATTACGCTGCCATTTGTCTCGATTAAATCGATAAAACCGACGTTAAAAAGTCTTCAAAAGGTAATTACTGAGATTATTAAAGTTAAGGGACACGTGGGGTTGATGTAGCACACACTGGTCAACGTAGAACCTGTTTAGAAATCCTTACGTGTCCACTTGCATCGATAAAATCGGTAAAACCGGCCTTTCAAGACAATGCCTCTAATTGGAAATTAATGAGGCTATCAAAGGTAGCGTTTTAGTGTATTGTGATTTGAAATACTCCAGTCACGCTAAGGCCTGATCACAAATCATTACGCTGCCATTTGTCTCGATAAAATCGATAAAACCGACGTTTAAAAGCACTCTTGATAAGGAAATTGCAGAGGCTATTAAAGGTAAGGGACACGTGAAGGGTGATGTTAGACACTTCGGTCGGCGTAGAACCTGTTTAGAAATCATTACGTGGCCACTTGCATTGATAAAATCAGTAAAACCGGCGTTTCAAGACAATGCCTCTAATTGGAAATTAATGAGGCTATTGAAGGTAAAGTGTGTGCGATTGGCCTTCTGTATCGATTAAATCTTGTTCTGACTTCCAGCTGCGAATATTCTGCTGATGACGCGTTAGTTACCTGGAAGTGGTCTACTTCGGCTCCAATCATTTAAAACCTGCCTCTCGTCTGAATGGGATTGATAAATTGATTTCCAGTCGAGCTTCAGGAATATTTGATCAGCTTAGTTAATAAGCCTGCCTATCCAGAAAATTGCCTCCTCCAAGCGCCATTCCACAAAACATTTGTGATCAGTGGCATTTACGGTTATTTAAACAATTCCTGCCCAAGAAGCCAGCCACGTTGCTTATTCAGGCTAAAAATACAAGCTGTTGCACCACTTGTGTACCAGAAGATACGAGTCATAAAGGGGTTTACAAGCCTTAATAAGCCATGGCGTTGATAAGTAGAACATACAGCGGTGACAGGTACTTGAACACCCACGCGCCGGCACTTTCTTGTAGCCTAATCCCTAACCCACCAGAATCATCGTTCTACTATTTAATGATGAGTAGTACTTGTTGAGGAACCCGATGTGGGTCTCACACTCGACACAATAGGAGGCAGAGGGTGCCTGAGGTTCGACAGATTGTTGGAGTCTTCAGTAGTGGCGCCAAATACTCGGTTGTGGACCCCAGCATGTGGTCTTGAACCACACCGGGGCCACAAAAATTAACCCTGACCCGATTACGCTTACCTAATACCCACGATGAAGAAAGCGATCGGAGAGGACGTGGACACGGCCGTTTAATCCAGAGCTCAAACACGTTGGTGTCGTTGTGTCGTGTGTGGGGTTTGTGCGTGTTTATTTATTTATACCTCGGAAGTGTGAGTCATACATGCGCTAACATCGAGACCCATGTGTGAGGTTAATCCAAGATAAATATTCGTGCAAATGAAGGGGGAGTTGAGGAATCGCGCTGCTGGCGACATGCTGCGAAAAGGGGAACCCTGTGTCGGAGGCTGGAGCG